CAGCGGGGAGAGCGGGGAGAAGCACAATCAGCCCCTTATTTCCGAGAGCTGACTGCACAAGCTCCGCTCCATCCTTGTGCTCCTTGTGCGCGGGTAAAGCACAATCAGCCCCTCTCTTTTTCCAGAGAACTGACTGCGCGAGCTCCGCTCCACAGTAAAGCTGCTCATTATAATATTAAGCATAATATGCTTGTGTAACTGATGCTTGTGCAACTGGCGAGCTCATCGACGCCCTCCATATCAACCTCCCTCGAGAGCTGACTCTGCGTGCTTCGCTCCCAAGCAGACAACACACAAACTGTGTGTGTCCCCACCCGAAATATAGCGCGTGCAGGGAGGAATACACAGCCTGAATGCTGTCTGCTCTTGCCCAAATGCTTCTTTTTGCTGAAGCTTGGCATAATGGAGCTTATAAGTGGACAAACAACACTAAATAAGACTCACAAACAGATAGCGACTGACACACACAAAGCGCTTGCTGAATGACAAAAAGCTGACGCCGGTTCCACCGCACGTGCTTTTATAGCTTCCTGGTCTCAATGTCACCCGCCCATGACGTCTCGCCCATCTATTGGACTGATTTCATATGTGATTCAGACCATGGTCACGCTGGGGGCGTTTCCGACGCAGCTCGAGTTCCTGAAGGGGAACTGCAGTATGATACAACATTAAAGCTGGTTAATTAATATTGAGATGGACTCGAACCAGCAACTTATAGAATAAGAATTGTAGTTTTTCTAGTCAAATTGATTGTTGCCTATAGAGGAATGGAGAAAAGTATGACTTTTCCTGCTCTTACGCTGTGTCTGGGTTTGTGTTTGTTTGTTAGTTTGATTGTCCAAGGGCACAAGCTGTATGTTACAACTTAGCCTGGTTACTGAGTATTTGTGTGTTGCACCATTAAACTTATATTTATTGCAGGCAATTAACCAGCCGTTGGTGGATCAAAATTTGCCACAGACAGATAAAATCATTACCAGAATTGTATAGTATGAATCTGGCTTTAACTGAAACGTAATCCCAAATATAAAGTAATTATCCCAGAAGTAACGTTAGGAATAAAATTATCAATATAATAAGAGTTATATTAAAATATTATAATTATATAATATAATAATATAATTATTAATAATATGTGATAGTAATAAATTAATAGATAAATTAAAGAAATGTAAAAAATATTGTTTATTTGATTTTTAATTTTTTTAATTTATTGCCACTTACTAATTTTAGAGTTGTTTCATATTTGTTATATACATATATAAATATACTATTTTTTTACATTTTGTTAGTTTTTATTACTTATTGCCACTTATTAATTTTAGATGAAGTTGATTTAAATTTATTAATAATTTATGCATTGTATTTCCTGTTCTTCTTTTTAAACACTATGGAAATGTAATTTTGCTGCCACTGACTGTCAACGTAAGACAAAAGAAGTTTGAAACATCAGTTACAACAAGATGTTTGTTGGATTAATGAATGTAAACATCCAGTTAAGTGACTTCACATTACAGAAAGCTTAAGTCTTGCTTTAAGAACAAATGATGCAAGCAAACTGTAGTTACAGTAACTAGTAGTTATTATGCCCCTTGTGTGAACTTCACATTCCAATTTAAGTAACCTTTCTGAAACGCTAGCCTGTAATGCTCATAGTCACAATGAAAGGTGAGCAGTGGTAATTGGAGGCTCTCATCAGAATTAACTTGACGGAGCTCAAACTCAAAACACACGGCAGCAACAAACAGGAAGTGACGTAAGCCTATCCTTTGAACTATCCCTTTAACAACCATTACTAATATTGATTTTCTGCTTGTAATAAAAATACAGAACCATTTTTTCATTTCTATTTCTCCTTTTTGACTAAATAAAAAGAAAATTATCATTGCAAAGATAAAGACATAATATCTTTATATATAGTATATAATAATATGGTAATAATAATTGTTTACATTATTTCATTTCATATTGCACTTTACTTTTATGTAGTTGTTTTGCTATCTGTTGTTATTATTATTATTATTATTATTATGTACTGTATTCATTACCATTCAAATGATTGGGGATGATAATATTTTCTCTTATGCTCACCAAGGTTGCATTGTTTTTTTTATCAAAAATACAGTAATATTGTGAAATATTATTACAATTTACAATAATTGTCTATTTCAATATATTTTAAAATTTAATTTATTTCTGTGATGGCAAAGCTGAATTTTCAGCATAATTTCTCCAGTCTTCAGTGCCATATGATCCTTCAGAAATCATTCTAATATGATGATAGGGTGCTGAATAAACATTTCTTATTGTTTTCCTTTATTAAAGGCAGGGTATGTGATTCAAAAACGCTTTAGAAAACTGATTCGGGCCGACTATCAAAATAGGGGCAAGTGTTTGTTGTGTTTGTTTTGGTGATTTCAAATATCAACATTGGCTACCAGAAATCACTTACTCTGCCTTTAACATTATTTTTATCTTATCTTATTTTTTAGTGTTGAAAGCAGTTGTGCTGAATATTTTTGTGGAAACTGTGATAAAAAAAATTCAGGATTTCATGTTGAATATAAAGATCCTTATTGTCCCTTTTGATCAATTTAATGCATAATTTCTTAGTAAAATTATTCATTTCTTTAAAAAAAATCTTACTAACCCCAGACTTTTGAACGGTAGCGTATACATTATTATTGTTATTATTAATGGCATTATGCAGCATTGTTTTGCTTGTGAGCACTATTGTTTAATTCACAATGTTTTATGGCATTATTGGGTACCATTCTTTATAGGCCGATATGAGAGAATCTGATATAAAAGAGCAGATTTAAAAGTAAAAAATATATAAATCAATTATTAGTCTATCTTTAAGGTTTATATGAGATTTTATTGTAAAAGTGAAGGATGCCTAGCTTCAAGGAGTCATTGAGGAGGGACATCTGGGAATGCTGTCCCGGACCCTGTGACGAGGGGAGGCCCCTAAGGGCCCCTATCTCATAGCACTACTCATTGCACCTGGACGAGTGTGGGCCCACCCATAAAAACTTTGTCCTGGGTCAGGAGAATTTTAGCGTCAGCCCTGCCTGGCATTACCGGGATTGTCTGTTTTAAACTAGGCCACATATTCCCTCTCCTCTCCTCTCCTCTCGCAATGCAACCTACTAAACCAGTCAAGCATAGAGACCCAATAAAACTTTGTCGCTCTTCTTTTTTCTCCTGTCTTTCCCTCCTCACTCCTCTCATCTTTTCTCTTCTCTCCGCAGACCCTTGTTAATTGTATTGATCCTAATCTCCACAGACACTGTCCGCGAGTGACCTTACTCTAGTGGATTACATCAGAATTACAGCTCCACTCCACATGAAGTGGACGCATCCGCTGGGTTTACCTCATATGAAAGACCGCTGATCGGCCTGCTGTAATTGAATGTGCCCCAGGGGTGCTCTGAACCGCCCCATAAAGGGCCAGACGCAGGAAATCAGCACACCCCAGTGCAGTGTATAGGGTTGCTAAGCGACATTTAGCCTTTATCAAAGACTGCCACCAAACCAAATGATCAACATCACTTCAACATCTGCTGGGCCATTTACGATGCATTTTGACAAATGAAATCATGCACAAATGCAACTAACGCACGTTTATGGACAAATGTGGGTTATTTCTCTCCCGTCTAAAGCTTTTATGAGAAAAGGTGTTAGTATAATGGAAGAGCAAAGGTTTAAAACCTGAACATTAATATGCACAATACTGCTACCTACAGGAAACACTGGGGTGTTACAACTAAGGTCATCACATTCACATATTTCAGTATATTAGCGGAAATGTTATAATAGCAGAGGCTGCTGTTTTCTGAAGATGAACAAATGAAAACTCAATTTCTCTTTTTCTTCCTCTCTGTAGATCAGTATATTTATGACTCATCTTTCCAACTATGGGAACGACCGCTTGGGTTTGTATACGTTCACTAATCTGGCTAACTTCCTGAAATGCTGGACCAACCTGAGGCTGCACACACTTCCTCCCCTGCAGCTCGCACACAAGTACTTCACACTCTTCCCAGAACAGAGACACCCGCTATGGCAGGTCAGTCTTGTGAACCATATCCTCAAACTATTTTCATTAACATTTAATCAATATGAAATAAATGCATTCATGGTGAACATAAGTCACTACTTTTCAAAACAGTTAAAAACAGTTCCCAACCTATTTATTTTATTTTATTTCTATGGATGCAACTCAATAATTTGAGGCTTATTTTATGATTACTTTTAAAATTACAGCCTCTTTTACCTTACATAAAATGTCCTCGAAATTATCACAGGTAAAAGCAATTCTGTGCAAACTGACATAAAAAGCCCACTCTCTGTGACCTGTAGGCCTTGTAACTGTTGTACATCAAGCACTCCATGTGTCTCAAGTGAATGTTGACCAATGAAAAGCCACCAGAAAATGAAAAGATGCACTTTACAACTTCTCACAGGGACAACGCTTGAATTTATGGGGGTTTTGCACAATTTTAGCTTATTTTTGTTTGGTTGCTCCAATTATGTTTTATATTGAAAAGATGCAGCATATAGGTGTTAAAGCTTTGCTAGTACAGTTTACATAATACAGGGCTCCAGACTTACATTTGAGAGCAGTGGCACCAGCTCCACTAAGTTGTACAGATGGTGGCGACAGGAGCAGATTTGGTAGCTCTGGGGGTGGTGTGTGGGAGTATTCAAATATAGATAATTTAATCATAAAATTACATTATTTGCATTAATATGTGCAGTTACTAATAACATTACATGTTCATTTTTTGATTATTTTTCGTTTGTTTATTGTTTATACAGATTTGACAGTAAATCATTAACCTTGAATTAAGATGCATACAAAATTTACTTTTATTAACAACAGTAACAGGTGCAAAATCAAATTTTTATATAGAAAATTTATATTCTACTCTTATTAAATGTACCATTATTCTTCTAGTATATGGAACTGACCAACTTCAGTGATTGTGTGATTTAGCCACAAATTGAAGAAAAGACAAAATCTGATTTCTTGATGATATGATATTTTATAATAGTGATTTTATCATTTCAAAATATAGAGAAATTCAATAAGTGCTCCTCTGCTGCCGTCTACTGGTTATAATTGTGATTTGATGTATTTTTTTAATTTTACATAAGTGTTTGTTTACCACGAAGTATATTTTGGTCATCCCATTAAAAATAACATTCAAACTGGATCATTTTAGAGCTTTAAAGTGCTGGAAATAGTTGTGTGAAATGCTTGAAAGTCATTGAAAAGTGCTTGAATTTCTCTCTCAAAAGGTTGTACAAACCCTGAAATGAATGATGTAAATGCATTCGACTATTTATACCACAACACCATGGTTACAGTTAGCATTACCGCTTCTGGTTTCCTGACGTATGTCAGCGCTGTTTATAACAGAGAATTCTGTGCAGAATTTGAATGATTCTCACTAGATCTAGCAGGAACCTTATCATTGGTCGCGCCACCAACTCAACTCATGACGCGGTGGTCACGCCAGTGCGAATGCTCACAAAAATTAGTCGCACCGGCAGAGAAAATGGTCTCAAAATGCGACCATTCGGTCACTGTCTGGAGCCCTGATAATAGTTATTGAACTAAAAAAGTATTTTGTATTGTTCTGTTTTCTACATAAATTTCTCATCATATGCAAATTTATGACACACGCAAATGTCTGCAGTAAAAATGACTTTAAACACATACTGTATGTCCTGAAAACAAATACCATCTGAATAGGGCTCTAGAATATCTATTAATATCTGTCGTATGAAATCTGAAGATGATCTCCATATACTGTAGGCGTCAAGCTGCAGACCTTGTCTCGTCCACTGTCTCCGTGCTTCTGTTAACAGATCCTGTATTAATTAGATAGAACTTTACACCTGATCTCATTTACGATGTTGTTCTTCAGAGCCCATGCGATGATAAACGGCATAAGGACATCTGGTCCAAAGAGAAGACCTGCGACAGGCTGCCCAAGTTCATGGTGGTCGGGCCTCAGAAAACAGGTAATTCTGTTCTTCCGTTACAAGAGCATGTTTCTTCCGCCTTTCCTTTTGCAGGGCTTCAAAGCCGCGTGTGTGTGCGTGCGTATCGCCTCGCTTCGCTGTTCCCCTTGATCCTGCTTCATGTCTCACCTTGTGCCGCTGGAAATGATGAAAGTGCAACCACGGGCATTCAGCTCTAGAGGAGAACAATACAGACACATCCCCAGAGGGCTGGGGAGGTAGAACAAGGGAAAAGACAGAGCGCTGTTTTGGGGCTGTAAGATTTTGATTGGTGTCAAGACACTGTCTTGTTAAACAGTTCTCCTCTCTGCACTCATCTTCTTTCCTGCTGTATCACAAACTCGCAATACACACAGAAAAAAAAATCCATAAGGTAAATGGTGTATTGATCCCATGTCTCTTAGTTTCTCGGTCTGTGGGCTGAATCTCCAGGCCTAAAATGTTTCTCTTCAGCGCTATCAGCTGCACATATCATTTCATCATTAGCAGGGGAAGGGCTCGTTGATTTACTTCTCCTCCTTCTTCTTTTCTCTCCTGCCCTCCTCCTTTCTCCCTTCATCTATTTCTTTCTCTCGCTCTCTCTCTCTCACCAGGCACGACAGCGCTCTACCTCTTCCTGATCATGCATCCCTTCATCTCCAGCAACTTTCCCAGTGTGAAAACATTCGAGGAAGTTCAGTTTTTCAACACCAACAACTACCACAAAGGCATTGACTGGTGGGTGTGAAGTGTGCTCCTGTGCACCAGACACATTTGTGCGTGGGTTTCACTTGTTAAAATGTTTTTGGAGGAATATACAGTACAATGGGTATGACATCACGTAAGTGGTTAAGGCATAGCTCATTAATATTAAGTAGGTCAAGCCCAAATAATTAAACATGATCTTCCACTGTTTTGGTAAATACTCTATGTATTGTATTGATCTGGAAGACGGATCTGGAGTATTATTTCTTTTCCAAGTCAATAAGTTTAATATAAACAATATTATTACAAATTGAAATGTTTAAAAATCATTTAAATATCTCTTTCTGCCTGAATTGCTATTCTCAAGTTCTTATTACACAATCATTTGTAGGAGCAGTTATTCTCAGATTTAAGTGCTTAAATATGTTTGTAGCATATTTTTTGTGGCGAAAATTTAATTTCTTCATCTGCTACTGTCAATTTTAGGGTTTTATAGGTCAGTTGATAAATTATTATTATATTATAAATTGTTTGTCTAGTCTTAATGTCTTGTGGCAACCTGCTAATTACAAGAAGTTTATTAATTATTAATATTTAGAATTTTTAATAGACCAAATTAAATCATATACAGTAGTACTACCTACACATGCAGAAAATGATATCATAGAGAGAATGACTGGGTGTTTAAAAAAGTTTTTTTTTATATCTCTTAAAATAATTTGATAGTTTAAAAATTTTACTTTGAAAAATATGTGGATTTTTTTTTTTTTTTTTATAATAAAAGTGTACACTAACATGTACAGAGCCACACACATGGCATGCCATGAATTACAAATTCACTTCCATGACTTATTAATTCATGGACACATTTAATTAATTTGTTCCTTTATTTTAGGTGAAATGTGGCCACACTTTACTAATTTGTTCCCTTGAGGAACAAATTAGTACAACATGGCCATGATTTATGTAAAACTAGGGAACAAATGAATAAGTTGTAGGAACAAATTCTTAATTTGTGGACACAATATGTTGTGCAGGGCTCCATACACAAGGTGTAAGGGAAATGTTTTACTTGATGGTTAAACTAGATTTTTTAAAGATCTTCCCTTTTTTTATCTTGGATAGTCTTATTTGTCATTGACCTAGATATATTCCTGCCGCAAGCACTTTTCATAAAGTGATGAGGACAGAATCTTCCATGGCAAAATGTCCCATTGTAAATGACACCTATGCTTGTGTGTGCATTTGTCTTTGTGTGAGTTTTCTCTAACTTGATACACCTCTCTTCTCAAAGGTACATGGAGTTCTTTCCTGTACCCTCTAATGTCAGCACAGATTTCCTGTTTGAGAAGAGCGCAAATTACTTTCCTTCTGAGGAAACGCCCAAACGAGCCGCTGCTCTCTTGCCTAAAGCCAAAATCCTTACTCTGCTGGTCAACCCTTCAGATAGGGCATACAGCTGGTACCAGGTATGACACATACCAATCACAAAGCAAAGACTAGTAGAATTGCCCATTCAGAGTTGTGTGGATGGCTGAAAGAGACTGCTGTACAGCAAAAAAAAAAAAAAAAAAAAAAGGGTTAATGCCTTTGACGATGTTGACATGCACAAGAGTTTTCCAATATTAATTAGGATTAATTCATATTTTGATTATGTACACTACTCTTCAATTTTATTTTATTTTTTAAGAAAAATATACTTGCAAATTTTACATGAGCACCAAATCAGCTTGCTAGTATACTGTATGAATAAAAGATTAAAATAGAAAATAGCTATTTTGAGTGGAGTAGTCATTTATATCATACATATCCAGACAAAGATAATTCTGATTGCTTTGCAAAGCTGCTGCAGTGGCAGCTGTGAAAAGTCAAGCTATCAAACAAATACATCAGAATACATAAAACTTTAATGTAACCGGTATATGAGAATGAGAATGAATATGCTGTGCAGAATTACTCAAATGCAGCTTAATAAATGCCAAAAAATAAACAAGAGGCATTTATTATTCTATAAAGGAACAAAAAAACACACTCATGTCTTATATTCATATTGTTATATTTGTGTTTTTATAAATGTGTTATTTTCATAATAATATTCAAAAATATGAAGCTAAATCAGAAAGTAATGTGCATGTTTACTTTAGGAGACTTGACTTTAGGAGAGCTGGCTAGTTTGAATTTTAAATAAAAAGGCAGTACAAATTCATCCAGCCAAAAAAAAGAAGAAAAAAAATCAATTTAGCATCTGAAGGGAGTTCAAAAAATAACTGTACAGATACACATTACTCTTTCTGACCTATAGAGGGCAGTGTGTTTGATATTTTCTTACACCTTTACTACACATTTTCACTGTTTTAGTGCAAAGTAATATATACACAGCTTAAATACATGAAATCACAAATGTATTTTGTGTATGCGTGTCGGTGTGCTTGGTGGATTTCCGTAGGAAGCAAGCGCGCACATGTTCATGTGTGATACTGTGGAGAGATTGAATATGTGTAAGTGTGAGTGAGAACATCACTGGGTGTAAACGCAAGTTTGTGTGAGGCAGAAATCTCATCAACAGCATGCACAGGAGGGCACAGCATGAAGCTGCTACCGCACACCACAAGAACATGAAAAGATAATCTAACATTTAATATCTAATGTATTAAAAGAATATTATTCCAGATTAAATACAATTGCAGCCCTGTACATTATCTTGCTTATTACATGGCTACATAACAAATAATACATGCGGAGTTGAGCTTGTTTTATAATCATTTATAATAATATTTCAATCACTGTGCAGTTGGTTTTGGTTTGTAAAATAGTTTTAATTTCACTGGCAGCATCAGAGGGCTCATGAAGACCCTGCAGCATTGCAGTTCAGTTTCTACGAGGTTATTTCAGCAGACCAGCTCGCTCCACCTGAGCTGCGCTCTCTCCAGAACCGCTGTCTCGTACCTGGACTCTATGCCACACACCTGGAGAGATGGCTCACATACTACCCTCCAAACCAGGTAACCAATCTGGATCAACTCTTGCTGATTTCAGTATTTTTACAGTACATTTTCTGAATCGTGTACTTCCTGTCTGTCTCTCTCTCTCTTTTCCTGTAGCTGATGATTATTGATGGACAGCAGCTGAGGAATGACCCAGCTAAAGTGATGGACGAGCTTCAGAAATTTCTGGGTGTCACTCCCTATTACAACTACTCCCAGGCACTCACGTAAGGGTCACACACACATGAACATTTTATATCAAGTGGGCACCTCCCAAATTTGCATAATTGCAGTTATTCTATAATGTCCAATAATTCAATGATAAAATAACTTATCCCACACTTTATGGATGTAATCTTAATTATGATATCAGTTATAATATCAAATTCAATAAATGTTAAGCACCAAACGTATTTAATAAATTGCATGCATTAACTTTGACAGCTCTACAAATAATACGTTTCTCGAATGCAGCTGTGTGATGTACAGTCAAACCAAAATTTATTCAGACACCTTCAACATTTCATTAAAATGTGGCAGAACAAATTGATCCTGATAATGTCAGATAACTTTTATAGAAAGGTATGTAATGGATTACAATCAACCAAAAATTATTCAGCTGTTAAATTTAAGTACACAATTAGATAATACCAATTTAGGTCAACCGATTTCCAAGCAATGCTTGATTTTGTTCAGTCTGTGATGTAAAAAATTTGCATTAGCAATTAAAGAAAAAACACGTAAGCAAAACATGGTCAGGTCAAAGTGTCTGAATAGTTTTTGATCCCAAATTTTACTGGTAGTCCACTGTATGAAGAATTTTTGGGTATAATATGTCACAGTTCACTTTATTTTGCTATCCTCACTTACATTTATGAACTATAGTGTCCTGCACCCACTAGTAAAAAATATAAAAAATTATGTCTGGTGTCTGAATAATTTCTGGTTTGACTGTAGGTCCAGAGATGGTAGTTTTTTTAGGTTTTACCATCACTGAGGAAACATTTGGTCCGTACTTGGATACACAAACGAGACCACACACACAAACACACACACACACACACACACACACACACACACAGATGGACACAGGCTCATCCAGAGACATGATACAGGAGCGAGCCTGTCATCCATGCTGTCCCTGGTCCCATGTGTTTGAGAATCAGCCTGTATAATCTGTACAGAGCCTGAATGAGATTAATCGTGATAATCTGGCTGTAGCCATTAACACAGCATGAGAGCAAGAAGATTAACTTCATCTGGCCTCTCCAATTAAAAACAGCTCGTTAGGCATCTGACACTTTCTCTCTGTGTTAGATTGCTCTTAAAGTGTCATGTACATTCTTACAATTTGCTTGTGTGCAAGACAACAATTTGCCGTGTGGTTCATTGTCAAACAATGCTTCTTAATGGCTGAAAAACCACCTGTCTGAGAATGAGGCCACGCCTTCTATTAATTAATATTTCAAACTGAACACTCAGCATGTTCAGTCATGTTTGAACTGACTCTTGCTGTTATAACTTGTGACTCAAATCAATTTCATACAGATTGCCAAAAAGAAAACATCTGTCACAACTCATGACTTGTAACAACTTTTACCAGAGAAGTTTATCTGATACCAGAAGTGTTTTTTTCCCTCCAGAACACCATGTGGCAACACACGTGGAATATTCCTCACATGAAACCACAAAAAAAAAACATTTTTATTAAAAATGTGAAATTCATGGTTATAAAAATTGCTGAACATACCAAAAAATAAAAAATATATATTTTTAAATAATACATGGCCAGTGAGAAATGTTTGTGGCAGGTACTTTTTCTCCTATTTTTCACTCATCTTTGGCAAATGTGACAAAATGTTGTTTTGGACCATATGTATTAATCATATTGTACTGTAATACATTAAATATATTTCAGGAAATTCAATCAAGTGAAAATGACATTCGCTCATCTCAACTTTGGGACAGAAAATTATCTAAATTAAAATTAATTAGAAAATTATTAAATAATTGTAATTATTTTTAATAATAAAAAATAAATATTTTCTTTAAAATAATGCACACTATGATTAATAAAAAATTAATAAATATAAAATATTTTTAGTGGGTCCTAAACGACCTAAAATGCATTGTGGCAAAAAAGAAGAAAGAAATCATGGTATTTTGAAATGAAGCAATGGTTGTGTCACATTTTTCATTCTACAGCCATTGATATAAGAGGCCAAAACATTGAACTCAGTATTACCTGTGTCAGATGTAGTCTATTTCAGTGTCTCTCTCTCTCTCTCTCTCTCTCTCTCTCTCTCTCTCTCTCTCGTTTCTCGTTTGAACGTTCTGTGAGTCTCTGCATGTGTTCTCTACTGCAGACAGCTCCATCAATCTTTGGCTTTTATTAATAACCTCCCTCTGTTTGAGTCTTTCTCACTTCATCTCTCCACACATCTCTTCTCTTTCTCTCTCTCTCTCTCTCTCTCTCATCATGCCGGTTTCTACTTTTTCTTGTTTTCTGTCAGTTTCAGTTACTATCACTTCTTTTTGTGGCTTCACTTGCAATAAAGAAAATACAAATTTGCAGTAATTCAATAGTAAAACAATTTTAGCCACTGGCCTGCAGTCCTCAGCTGGTGCTTGTTGATTGTATCACACAAAGAATCCAAATGATGTTTGTTAACCATTCTGTCTGGCTTTGATTTATAAATAAAGAATCTATCTACATTTACTGAGCAGTGTGGGATCTGAATGTTCCCAAATCAGCTTCGAATGCATAATTTGACAAAATTACAGATGATTAAATATAATTTTTTGATAAGACTTTATAAAACTTTTAAATGAATATAAATTATTGTACACTAACATATTCATTTTTTAATTGGATTATCCCTTATGAAATAGCAATAATATTTTAAGGGTGCAACCAAGGCATTTAAATAACATGTTTTTACCTTGCTAAAAAAAAAAAATAGAGCATAGTAAAAAGTTTTCAAGACAATTTTAATATGACACTCATAAAGTAAAAAAAAAAAAAAATCTTGGTTTTAAAATAAATCACCCTGGGGATATAAAAGTGCCCAGAGTTAGAAAAAAGGCTCTTTTTGTTCTTTATTCTCTCTGTATTTTCTGGGACTGAGACTAAACAGAATATCGGAGAAAACTGTAGAGCAGGGAGAAGAAATAGGATTGAGAGACCAAAAAAAAAAAAGAAGACAGTGAGAGAGTAAAACAAAACAAAAAAATACATTGTGTCACAAATGTGTCATAGTTCCTGTTTCAAAGTACCCTCTGCTTACTGCTTTGCCAAAGAATGAACACTAACACACACACACACACTCACACACGTGTGTGTGTGTGTGTGTGTGTGTTCTGGAGTTTTCCAGATTTCCTCCATTGCTGAGTGTAGAAATCAAAAAGGTTTCGAGAGACTTAATATAGATTGATGGACACAGTATATACAGTAGGTTATATATTACAATGAATTTGCAAATTGGAAAGATGTTTTTGAGGAAAGAAGTCTTTTAGATTGTAAATAGTTCTCTCTTTGTTCACAGGTTTGATCCTCAGAAGGGCTTTTGGTGTCAGCTGTTGGAAGGGGGCAGGACTAAATGTTTGGGGAAGAGCAAGGGCCGCAAATACCCACCCATGGACTCTGAGGTACCACCTAACAACAGTAAACTCTGAGCAAAATGGAGGCTTTAATCTTTAATGATTACAGCTGCATTATAGAGGTTTGCCATCATTGAGTAATATGGGTCACAGAGAGAGAGAGAGAACTCATTCTGACCTCTGACTGTTCAATTTTGCAACAGCTAACATGTCTGTAGCTCATGTACTGAATAACTGATACCTACAGAACATCTCTGACTCTCACTTCTTATTTCTCTATTTTTCTTCTATTTTTTCACCTAAAGAAATCTTACATTTACTGTGTCATTCCAAACCTACACTCTCACAAAAAAACGTACAAAAGCTGGGGAGGTACTTTTTCAAAAGCTACACCAGTTTGTACCTAAAGGGTCTATACCTTAAAGGTACAGCTTTTGTACCTTTTTTCTGAGAGTGTATGAACACAAATGAAGATATTTTGAAGAATGTTTCAACTGTTTTTGTCCACACTGTAAAAGTCAGTGGAGTTCAAAACAACACTGTATGGCCAAAAAAACATTTCCCAAAACATCTTCTTTTGTGTTCCACAGAGGAAGAAATTCATACAGGTTTGAAATGGGATGAGGATGAATAAATGATGACAGAATGTTTTTTTGTTGTTGTTGTTTTTTTTTGCTGACCTATCCCTTTAATAACATTGTACATATACTATTAGGGGTGTAATGGTACACGAAAATGATGGTTTAGTATGTACTAAGTCATAGTTTGGTATGTTTTTGGTACAGTGAAAAACAACAAAGTTCCTTTGTTTTTCCTGTTTTATTAAACAGTGGTTTACTAAACAGATGTCTAAAGTGCTTCCATTTTTAGATGCAAAATTTTTTGGTCAAAATGTGTTTTTTAGCCTGAATTATTGCACTCTTTTTTAACAACTTTAACAGACACAGGCCAATCTTTATGCAAAATGGAAATACTCACATTACTTCCTAACATTTACACATAAGAATACAACCATAAGACGCAAGCTATGTGCTGAGGAAAACACCTTTAGAAAAGCATTACATATCATGCATCTGACATGAGGTCAAGAAGATTTAAACTGTATGCTTTGGAGTTAGTTTGAAGCACTTGCTTTAAGCACGTCTTGTTTAGGACAACTTGGACTGTGTGCTTTTCCTGAAGCAGTTCAGTCTGTGTCCTCTGTTATTTTTCACTCGCAACATCAGAGTATATTGATGTAAATGCTATTGACCCATCTTTCTTGAAAATAATTGATACCTTACCAAATCTATATACTGTCCAGCCCTTGCTAGCTGAACCAACAATATCCAGTCCTTTGTGAAAGTTGCTAGGGGGAAAAGGAGTTTCAAATTAAGTTCGGTACAGGTGCATGCCAAACCAAAAGACCCGTACCGAAATTGAAAATGTGTCCCATTTCACCCCTATATTCTATACAAAAGTCTGTAGCTGTTCTGCACAGTAAAAAATGTGTTCTTTTTACTCTTTCCTTTTCTAGTCACGAGCACTTCTCTCCAGATTCTACAGGGATCAGAACATTGAATTATCTAAGCTGCTGCACAGACTGGGTCAGCCGCTACCGGCCTGGCTCAGAGAGGAACTACAGAAGGTCAGGTAGCCCTAACCAAACCACCGCTCCCCTGGGTCAAAGATCCAGATTCAGCCCTCAATGGAAACTAGACTCTTGAACGGTACTCAATGCCACCTACCTGCAAGCTTGCAGAGCAAAGGTCAGAAATTCAACTCACCAATCATTGGTGCCTCTGGAAATCCAAACAAAGCAGTATTGTGTGTCCATGGCAACATGACACACAATACATTTTGTTGCAAAAGGTCAGTTTTTTTTTTCAGTGAGGTACGGTGATGTAACTGTGACCCTTGAACTTCAGATGCAGCTAAACAAAGACTGCATAAAGACTGTAACTGAAAAATGAAAATGTCCTCAGACTTCCTCCTATACTTTCCCCCATCAGTCACTGGATATAAAGGTACGGCTTTAGATTTTATATGTCTTCATCGAGGGAGATTTAGAACTGCACAACCACTGTTCATAACCTCACTCTTGCAAATATATCAGTCAATCAATCTATCAGCCAATCAAAGTGAAGATGCAGAATGTTAAGAATCATTATGGAGAAATAAAGAGCTTTAAACCGGTTAATGGAGTGATGTCATTGTGATGTCAATGTCTCAATCCACGTCCCAGTTACTGTTGTTCTAGACACAATGGCCTGAAGAGTGGAAATGATTTCAGTGTGTGTCTGTGTGTGTGTGTGTGTGTAAGGGTAAATACATAAGCCCTTGTGTGAGTGTGTCTAGGCATAGGTCTGTAGCCAGGTAGCCTTAGCCCCGCCCACTGGACTGCAACTGGTTGGCTGATGAATTTGAAATGTGACTTTTATTTTTGAAAACAATTTGCCTCAATAAGGTGAGAAAGTGCTTTGAGAAATATGTAAATAACTATATATATTCAATAAACACTGGAGAGATTCATGTTTCCGTAAAACATTTCTTGCAAAGTTCTGTCTCTATTTGATATACCTACCTAATGAATGGACAGAGTGGAAGTAGAAGTTACAAAACACGGATATTATCTTATATTTACTTTATTAAGCACAGTATGAAGAAGGGATCACACGCTATTAAGGTTTCTAAATTCTATAAAACCTTATTGCTTGGCTGTGTAGGGATTATTTTAATGAAATACCTCCCTCTAGTGGTCACAGGCCGTAATGACATTAAAATGGGCTTATTTCAATACATTTACAAGTAATGAATCGATGTGTTAAAGGCACAATATGTAAGATTTTTTTATTAAAATATCCTAAAACCACTAGAACAGTGTTATATATTTTTTGCTGCCTTGTGTACTTACATTATCCCAAATGTTTCGAAGAATGTTTAAATCCAGTGTCCATAGTGTCATTGTGTCACCTGCCGTTTTGTAGAAAACATGAAAACACCAAAGACTCTTTAAAATGTTATGCGTTTTAATAGACTGGTGAAGACCACATAGAGTAGCATTATAACAGAACTTTCAAACGTACCCGAGTCCCGTCGGATTGCATCGGCTGTGGGGATGAAGACCACAACTCCCATGATTCCACACTCAGTCACGGTGTCATCAAACTACGCCTTTGCTTCTTTGTTTATTTTGAATACGCGCCCTCTAGCGGCGAAAATTACATATTGTGCCTTTAAGATCTAGATCTGATTTTACAAATTATTCTCAGTGTCATATAAAAATATTCGTACTTTATACAGGCAGATAGCTGTATGAGTCTCTCTGTACCTCTAAGATGGATCATGTGCGCTCTGTACAAATGAACACACAGGTTTTTGTGTCTGAGGGCAGAGGAGGATAAAAACGAAGTAGGCTACAAATATTTCTTCGCTGACCTTAAGTACAGTTTTTCAAAATTTCAACTTTGAAACTTGAGTTTCACTTTTACTTAGAGAAAATCGTTTTACGGAATTACGCATGGAACCGGGTACCAGTCATCAAATTCCTAAAATGAAAATTTTAATCAACTACGGAACTGCTGGTATTCAGCAGCATTTAGCTCACAGGAACTATAGAGGAGAGTAACACACCTTTTACCAACAAAAAATTCATATTTAATGCATTAATGCATAAAGTAGGCCTACACAAAATGGAAATTGTACTGTAATTACATTTATAAATGACTACTAAAAGCACCCACAAAACAGCACCCAAAACTTGAACAGACCTACTTCATTAATTATTCATATTCTATTATGAATATGATATACTCTCTTTATAGCCACTAAATGCTGCACAAATTTCCGTTATAATCAATGAAGTTGTCTACACTCAGAGCTGGGTATAGATTAGGCCTACTTACAAATTGTAGTCCATTAGGCTACTGATTCCAAATTACATGACAAAAATTGTAGTTAGTAACATAATCCATTACATTACACATTTTAGGTAATATAATCAGACAACTTTTAGATTACTTTTCGATAACTTTTGACCTAGCTTGTTTGTCACATTGATTTAAATAAGATAATCTTGTACCATATTGATATAAAAGAATAAGAGTAAGAAAATATATTCCATTTGTTATAATTAACAACATGTGCTTTAACATTACATTACAGCTAGGTTTCCTAAATTGGGGGTTGTAAATTAACTGCAGGGGGGTTGTGAGTTTAATTAAAAGCTAACAATTAATTAAATCATAAAAAGTCCAATTAGAATAAGTTTTTTTTTAATTAATTAAAATTACGCAAAAACCCATTTGCATTATGCCTACAAACTTTTAATTTTAATTCATCCTAATTGTTGTACATTGAATCTTGTTTTGGTGTTCAGTTTTAATATGGAACTTGTCTGTTTCTGTTATGATACTGTCATCGTTTGGTTGAATGTCTGTTTCTCAGATCCTGCTTTGTACCATGGTATTGATACGACATCACTACTTTTTTGTGAGGGGCAGTTACAATCTCCCTTAATTATACAGTTTCATCTTATATTAGATACATTATCATAAAGTAACTGAAGTAAATGATCACTGATTTCTGTCATAGTCTATGATCCTAATGAAAAGCTTGTCCATAAATAAGCTATTGAATTCAACAATATCCTCAAGATGGCGCTGTAACGCTGCGCTCAATCTCAATCACTGTAAAACATCTCTCCCTCTCTCAGTGAGCCGTCAGGATTTGATTTTTCACTCGATGAAGACTGCAGTTATTCTCATGGATCCAATATTATATTTACTTACTGTAAATATTATATTTACTTACTTTGTGCTTGTGGCAAAACTAACGCATTTTTTACGCAGATTTATTTTAAGTAGATCATATAATGTTTTCTGCTTCAGGAAGTAGTGAATGAATACAAATAAACAATCTTACATGCATTTCTGAAAATTCTTTTAGGTCTTTGCCATGATACAATAAACTCGTCTCCATAGAGATGAGCTCAAAGGAGGAGTGTATTTAAAATGCAGTGTCAACACACATATACACACAATGGACCTATGTAAACAAAAGGCTTTCTGAAAAGACGACACTAACATTGCACTGTCAGGTCTGTACACACGGGCCACTGTGCGAACAAAACAAAGCTAGCTGGACTTGCCTGTGTACTCAGAACATCTAAAGCTAACCATTGTGTCAGAAACTTCCTCAAATACAAAATATAGACGTGCATTCACACAAGCATACTGTTTTTCCTCTTGAATTTTCTCTAATCAAATCTTCCGATTTAAGAAACAGTATAGCCTACTACTTTATTCCAACGACAAATTGTATACCAATTGTGAAATGTTTAATGCTCCAACTGAAGTTGCACGACAACTGTATATAGCCTTTTGTGATTTTAAGTTCCTCTAAATATTATTTACCATAATTTGTTTTGCTGTTAATGACATTACAGCCCTTATGAATAGCGTCACATACTAGGCTACATGACTTGACATACAACGTTTAGGCAATAATAAAAGCACCATGCCATGTTCAGAAATATTTAAACATATGTAAGGGCAATACTAAACACAGAATTATTGACCATGTGTGAACAAATGAACACTTTTTACAGTTTTCATAGTACAGTTAATTAACATTAGATTACAATATGACTGAATGATGCATTAGAAAAACAAATTTACAAAAGTCTAAACTGCAACACCTTAGTTTGTGCAAAATAAGAGTTTGTGGTTGGTCAGCTTTTTTATATACACAGACCAGTTGTTTAAAAAAAAAAGGGGGAAAAAAAGGGGGTGTAGTCTGTATAAAGACTACTTTCATAAATCATACTCATAGATGTGTAATATAGACATAAATCACAGAAAAAAAACACAAGTTAATTATGCTGAAATTAAATGCATTGTCACAAAACTAAAACGAGGTATAAACAGTTTTGCATTGCACATAATTCCCATATAAGCAAATATATGTGCTTTTTGTCCTGATGTTGAGATACAGAAAACCTCAGTCCAGTTATCATCATGAACATCTGTGCTATAATAAATGATGTCATGGTTCCTGTGGAGCATTATGATGTCATTTAATGTGTGGATGAGGTGATGTGGTCAGTTACTTAGCAATGGCATGGTAACCATATCCCAGGAGTTTAGAATTACCATACATTTCTTAGCAGGAAATCCAGAATCTTCTCATTTCAGCATTAAAGCTTGAGGTGATTTCAAGCCATTGGAACGTTCTTCAGTATCAAACTGGAACATTACTCGTCCCATTTTACAGGCTCAAATAGTTTCTGTCTCTTAATGGCATAAAGTACATAGTCACACAGATATGCTTTCATTATTGTATTCATAACTCCACACTCACCATTGTGGTCTCTTCAAACTAGAAGTGCTTTCATTATTAAAAAAAAACAAAAAACAAAGAAAACCTGCAATAATTTAACCTGTCAATTTAAAACCAATCCACACATCGCTATAATGGGCCTGTGTGTGTGTGTGTGTGTGTGTGTGTGAGTGAGTGTGTTTTCCAGTAAAAATATCTAACCATTGTTAAAACAAGATAAAGTTACTGAAGCAAAAAAACTCATAACTTTGTGTTGTTTCAAGCATAAACCTCACACATTTTAAAGCTTTATGCCTAATTGTTCAACATATATTCTCTGAAAACAAGACTTAACTCTAAACTCATTTATTTTAAGAATGTTTAGATGTTTTTACTGTTTTTCACTGTAATTTTACAGCAAAGTTAAAATTTTGTGATGACTATACTGTATTTAAAGCCAGGCTCTACATAATTCTCTCTGACCATTAAGACTTATTTGTAGCTGATTTCAACTAGTGTTATGAAACTATTATCTATGTAATCTAAAACATATTTAGCTCTAAAGCTTCTTACTCTAAAGTAAAAGTGTGCTTAATTTTTCTGCCCACACAGTCAGACTGTCTGTTATTGGTTGATTTTTCTGGGCCCTACTTGCCAATGACCTTCTTAATCCAGGGCACGAAGGCAGAGACTTTGGTGTAGACGCCAGGTGCGTCTTGCAGTCGACACGCGTGACCCCATGATGTGACCCCATATACAACCCAACTTCCACTCGGCCTCTCACACACCAGCGGACCGCCGCTATCTCCACGGCAACTGTCCACGCGGTGGTCGTCGTAGGAGGAGCCGGCGCACAGCATGCGACTGGTGAACTGGTCAGAATAGCGCTGCTCGCATTGACGCTTGCTCAACACAGAAATCGAGGCCTGCTGGAGAGTTTTTGAATATGCACGACCTGAGAAAAGAAAAAAATCCAACAGGTTTTACTTGAAGTCTGGAAGTGATCAGACTTAACTGTTCACATATGCAATGGAGCATGTAGTCGCTTTTCTTTCAGTGTCATCACACACTTCATTCATCACATTTTAGAAGACTGTTAAGAATACTGA